CCTGTTGGCAGAGTGTTTTAGGATCAAAAGGGCCAGATGTAGTGGTGCATGCCTGCAATCCCCAACTCAGGAGGTTTAGGCAGGAGGATCTTGAGTTTGAGGCCTACCAGGGCTACACAGGGAGACCTTTTTATGTGTATGAGTGTTTTGCTTGCTTGTGAGTGCACCACATATGTGCAATGCCCATGGAGGCCAGAAGAGGGCATCAAATCCCCTGGAACTGGAGTTACAGATGATTGTTAGCCACCGTGTGGGTGCAGGAACTGAACCAAGGTTCTCTGCAAGAGCAACCAGCACTTTTAACCACTGAACCATCTCTCCATTCCCCTAAATTAATTTTTTAAAAGATCAAAAGGTGGGCTAGGGTTGTCACTCAGTGGTACTGGTTTAGCATCCCTAACACCTCAAAACAAGCAAAAGCCGGTGACATGGCACAGCTGATAAAGTCTGACAACCTGAGTTCCTTCCACATGGTGGAAGCAGAAAACTAAATCCTAAACATTGTCCTCTAACCTCTGTGTGTGCACACATGCACACACACACACACACACACACACACACACACACACACACAGAGATACACACACATGCTAAATAAGTACATAAATAAATTTTAAGCCAGTTGTGCTTTGCATCCCTGTAATCTTAGCATTCCTGAGGTAAGTGGATGATGATGAGGAATTCAAGGCCAGCCTTGGCCACATAGTCAGTTGGAAGCTAGCCTGGGCTGTGTGAGACCCTGTCTCAACAAAAACCAAACCAAACCAAACAAAACAAGCAAGCAAAGATGAAAAGGATGGGCCTGAAGGTGCTTGCAGGATTCCAGGGAACTTGGCTTTGATGGTTCCAATTTTCATCTTTGTGGGCAGAACACTGGGAGATAAAGTCCTTCACTAGCATGGACTTCCTGAGCTTCTACAAACAGCAGAATCACTGGGTTTGAGAAATGTAACACGTATGTCACTGGCCATGTGGATCAAATAGAGGCAGAAGAGGTGATGATTCAAGGTCATTCCAGCTTCACAAGTTGTTTAGGGAAGTGAAAATGAATAGGGTTCTGAGGTGGTCCTTGGTCACCCAGGTCTCACGGATAGTTCTACAACCTCTACCTGCTAAGCCTAGAGGGTTAATACCAACAGCCCATCAGTAACAACCAGACTTGCTGTGTATCTGATTTGAGGATGCCTTAAGACCTGAGAGGTCCCCAGGCTCCAAGAAGTTCCCCAGTTTCACTGGAGGAAATCAAGAACCATCTAGAAAGCAAACAAGTGGCTACGTTGTGCAACAGAGGTAGGGCAACGGGTGGTACAGACATAACCTTGCTCGGGTGGCCCAGGAAAGCAGCGGGTCAGCATGGCTTGGCTCAGGCAGCAGGAGGCTGCTTCATAACAATAGCAATGTTGATGGAGCTTTCCCTCCATGCTGTTTGTATAGTGCATCATTTAGACTTCATTGCTTCCTTAGATGGAGTAGAGTCTATCTTTAGCAATATTTCACAGGTAGGGATAACAGACACAGGAGCTTGCACAGTCCTGCATCCAGGTAGCAGAGCTGAGGTTCAAATCCAGGCCCTGGCTCCAAAGTCAGTGCTCTTAGCTCTTAACCCATGCTCTTCAAAGGGCAGCTCAACTAGTCCTTACAGAATAGGAGATTTAGAGAGGCAAAGCCCAGTGTGGGCTTCCACAGACCTGGGTTTGGTAGTACCAACTGTGTGACTTTAAATCACACTCCAAAATAAAGAAATGAGTTGGGGACAGCTGAGGAGTATGGCTCAGTTGGTAGACGGTTTGCCCAGCATGTACAAAGTCCTGGGTTTGATCCCCTAGCACTGCATAAGCCAGTTATGGTAGCACATACCTGGAATCCTAGCACTGGAGAGGTGGAGGCAGGAGGATCAGAAATTAAAGGTCATTCTTAGCTACACAGTAAATTTGAGGCCAGTCTGTACTATGTAAGAACCTATTGGGTTGGGTGTGGTTGGTGCATGCCTTTGATCTAGCACTTGGGAGGCAGAGGCAGATGGATCTCTGAGTTCAAGGCCAGCCTGATCTATATAGCAAGTTCCAGGACAGCTAGGGCTATAGGGAGGGAGACCCTGTCTCAAGAAGACAAAAAAAAAAACACAAAACAACAACAACAAAAAAAACTAACAAAAAAGGAGGGGCTGGAAAGATGGCTCATCTATTAAGAGCACTGGCTGCTTTTGCAGAGGACTGCGGTTCAGTTCCCCGACTCCACGTGGCATCTAACAACAATCAGAAACCAGGTTCCCAGGATCTGGCGCCCTTTTCTGGCCTCCTTGGGCATTGCACCTATATACATGTAGACAAAACACTCATACACATAAAATTAAAAGCTAGAAGGAAGGGAAGGAGGGTGAGAGGAAGAAAGAAAAGGACCAATCTCTGCAGCAGGAGAAACACAGACTGCATGTGTGGCTTGGGAGGGTGTCGGGAGGGAGACTGTCAGATTAGAGTGTGAAATAGCTGAGAAAGAAAAATGGGCTGGGAAGCAGGAGGCCAGGCCATTGAGACGCTTGAAAGCCACCATACAATGCTCTGCTGCTCTTCAAAACGGCAGCTGTGTGCACTTTGTTGATATATGGAGAGTGTGTGTTTAGAAAAAAAAAAGAATGCAAAGTACACGTGCAAACCGGCAGCTGTGTAAACTCGTTCTGCTCTGTTACCTTTAGAGACCAGAAGAGCATCTGTGGTACTATAAAAGCCCCAGCTTATTTATTTTTCTGTAAATTTCTAATGAAAACCCAGAGTAAAATGGGGTCAGGGTGACGATGTCAGCTTTTATTTATTATTTATTTATTTATTTATTTATTTATTTATTTATTTAGTCTTTTTGAGACAGAGTCTCCTTATGGCCTTAGCTGGCCTGTAACTCACTATGTAGGCCAGGCTGGCCTTGATCTCACAGAGATCTGCCAACCTCTGCCACCTAAGTGCTGGGATTAAAGGCATGTGCCATCACACCCAGTCAGGGTTTCAGCTTTTAACCACTCGGTAGCCACAGGGAGTCACTACAGGACTCTTTTGGCTTTGGATATATATTTTATAATTAAATATAAAATATATTACATATATTTACTTTTATATTCATTTTACTTTTTAAAAATTTTTTATGTATATGAGTGTTTTGCCTGCATGTATATAAGTGCACCGTGTGTACAATGCCAATGAAGGCCAGAAGAGGGTGTCAGATCCCCCTGGAACTAGAGTTATAGATGGTTGTTAGCTGCCATGGGGTGCTGGGAACTGAACCCAGGTCCTGCAAGAGCAGCCAGTGCTCTTAACTGCTGAGCCATCTCTCCAGCCCTATTTTTTGTTTTTGTTTTTGTTTTGAGACAGGGTCTTTATATAGCCCTGACTGGCCTAGAACTCACTATGCAGACCAGCCTGGCCTCAAACTCACAGAGCTTTGCCTGCCTCTCTGCCTCCTGAGTGTTGGGATTGAAGGTATGCGCCACCATGCCAATCACATTTATTTATTTTGTGTATGTGTGTGGGCATGTGTGCCCTGAAACGAATGTGGAGGCTAGCAGACAGCTTGCAGGACTTGGTTCTTTCCACCATGTGGGTCCAAGGAACCAAACTCAGATCATCAGGCTTGGCAGCAATTGCTTTTAACCTCACCAGCCCTCTTTTGTTTTTAATTGAGATTTTTATTTATATGTAATTGACCCTCATTTGCTGATTTGTACTTGTAAATTTGGTCTGAAACTCCAGGTAATGGCAGAAAGAGCTCTGGGGTTGGAAAAATCTGAACAAAGCTCATATTGCTTTTGTGGTGGTTCTCAGAAATGCACAAAGCAGTGAACAGTTAGCGTGGCCTGGTGTTCACATTTCTAGATGAGGACAACCTGCAGGATGCTTTTGGGTTTTTTTTTTTTTTTTTTTAGTTTGATTTTGTTTTGTGGTTTTTGTTTTGTTTTGTTTTTGAGACAAGGTCTCCTGTATCTCAGACTAACCCTGAACTCAGTATGTAACTGAGGATGATCTTGAATTTTTTTTTTTTTTTTTTTTTTTTTGTCTTTTTGAGACAGGGTCTCCTTGTAGCCCCAGCTGTCCTGGAACCCACTATGTAGACCAGGCGGTCCTTGAACTCACAAAGATCCTCCTACCTCTGCCTCCCAAGTGCTGGGATTAAAGGCGTGCGCCACCACGCCCAGCGACCTTGAACTTTTTTAAAAAATATTTTTTTTATTATTTTTATTTTATGTGTATGAGTGTATTGCCTGCATGTGTGTAAGTGCACCCTGTGTCATGCAGTGCCCACAGAGGTAAGAAGGCTTCAGACTCCCCTGGGCCTGGAGTTATGGACAGTAGTTAGCCACCATGTGGGTGCTGGGAATCGAACACGGGTCCTCTGCAAGAGCAGCCAGTGCTCTGAACCCCTGAGCCATCTCTCTAGTCCCCGACCTTGAACTTTGGGGCCTACCTCCTAGTGCTGGGATTGCAGGCCTGCAGTACCTCACCTGGCTTATGCAGTGCATGGGGCTTTTACGCATGCTAGGCAAACACTCTACCAACTGAGCCACATCCCCAGCCCCAAATATTTAAATGCACTCATTTTAAAATTATTTTATTTGGTCTTTTTGAGACAGGGTCTCCCTGTAGTCCTAAAATTTTTATTTATTTTATGTGTGTGAGTGTGTTGCCTGCACGTATGTAAGTGCACCCATGGATGCAATGCCTGTGGGGGCCAGAAGAAAGCATTAAATCCCCTGGAATTGGAGTTTCAGACAGTTGTTTAGCTGCCATGTGGGTGCTGGGAACTGGACGAAGAGCCAGTGCTCTTAACTTCTGCACCATCTCCCGAGCCCCTAAATTCACTCTTTTTAATATTTTAGTGTACTTACAAAGTTTTACAACCCCCACCATCTCTGCAGTTTCTCCAGTAATGCAACAGACTCACAGCAGGGATTTGAGATCTAGCCGTCCATCTCTCCCTGTCTCCTGATCTTTCTTTCTCTCTCTGGTCCCTTTCAGAATGCCCAGGAGAGCCATGGGCTGGCAGTGCCCACCCCTTCTGTCCCAGAAGACTTTGCAGAAAAAGATGTGTCAGGTAAGAGGACTCTGGGCTTGTCCATCCTTCTTTCCTTCTTCTTTGGGCCCTGAATTTTAAAAGCCAAACTTCTGGTGTGTTCCCCAGGCTGGTGACAAAGCCAGAGTTCTCACTGTTGCACACTGGCCAACATGGCTGAAAGCAGCGGCTGGGAGACAGGGAGGCCAGGGTTGGCTGAGACCCACTTGGGGAGCAGGGAAGGGGGAGAAGGCTGGTGAAAAGCTGAGGTCAGAGCAGGATGGTAAGTATCAGGATGTGGCAGAAAAATGGTTGGACAGAACTAGCCCTGAATCCTAGCTCCAGCCTTATTAGCTCTGCCCCTCTGACACTCACCCTGCCCTGCCCCTGCCCTGCACCTCTGTACCTTCCAGTAGACAATGGGGGCAGTGCCGTCAGCTCTGGAGGACTACACGGAGGATGAGATGGATGCAAGCCACTTCGCATCGCATATCTGCTCAAAACTGCCTGGTGACATCCTATGTCACTCAGCGAAACGTTGTGGCCCTCATTCCCAGCTTCCCCTACCCCACCCCTGCCACGTGGATCTCCTTATCCCAGGCACGTTTCCACCCCTGGGGTTTTCAGCTTTCCTAGACCCCTATGTGGCCCCCTAAACCTTGTGATATCTCTCTGCTCCAGGATCACCTTCTCAGTTGGAGCCTTCCTAGTTAAATGGCACCCTCAGTACCCCTCCTGCTGCTTTTATCACCACATCCACCCTGGTAATGGTTCACTAATGTATTGTGTTGGTTGTCTGTCTCATTGACCCCTTAAAGAATAAGTGTCAGAGGATGTAACTCAGTGGTGCCCAGCAGGAGCAAGGTCCGGGCTTCCATCCCCAGAATACAACAAAACAAACAAACAAAAAAGAATAAGCTTTAGGAAGGTAGTGGGAAGCACGTGCTGGGATTACAGGCTTGTGCCACTGTGTCTGGCTTCTGTCTCCCCTCACACACACCTGCCAGTTCTGCACATCCTGAATCTTGCTGAGTCCTCTTTGCTCAGCTGCTGACCCTGCCACAGGCTTGCTGTGCTCTGCTAGGCACTGGGAGGAGGGAGGACAAGTGGGATGACAGAGACGGGGACTCTGCAGAGAGGGCTGGGGCCAAGGAGAAGGGAGGGATGCTGCTGCTGTACGGGGTGTAGCTCTATAGCCACGCTGCCCCAGTCACCTTCCTTCTGCACCTTGTGCATCTAGCGGTCCATATCTTACTACAGAAGTTCTATGTGACATGGAAAATAGGTTCTTGATAGAAGACTCTGGGTCTTCTGAAAGGAGGAGTTAGTTGTCCATGCAAACTGAGCGTCTTTTCTCATCTGCCACTTCCCACCTCTAACCACTGTCCTCTTATTCCTCTTGAGTGTGTGTGGGGGGAATGCATGTGCACGTTTGTGTGTGTGCACACATATATGGATATGAGGCCACAAGTCAACAGCAGGTGTTTTCCTCTATCCTTCGCCCTATTTTTTAAAAAGATTTATTTACTTTTATTTTATATGTATAAGTGTTTTGTCTGCATATATGTATGTGCACCACATGCATACAATGCCCACAGAGGCCAGACGAGTGTATTAGATTCCCCTGGAATTGAAGTTACTGTAGTTGTCACCCACCATGTGGGTGCTGGGAGCCAAACCTGGGTTCTCTGGAAGAGCAGTGCGTGCTCTGAACAGCTGAGCCATCTCTTCAGCCCCACCACCCTATTTTTTGAAACGGTCTCTCACTGAACCTGGAGCTTACCCACCCAGCAAGACTAGCTGACCAGTGAGCCCAGCAAGCCTGTCTCTGCCTCCCTGGCACTAGGAGTGACAAGTGCACATTTTTTTTTTTTTTTTTTTTTTTTGGTCTTTTTGAGACAGGGTCTCCCTGTAGCTCCAGCTGGCCTGGAACTCACGCTGGCCTTGAACTCACAGAGATCCACTTGCCTCTGCCTCCCAAGTGCTGGGATTAAGGGCATGAGCCTGGAATATTTTACTTTTATTTTTTAAAACCTCGCAAATGATTCATCCAGGATCAAATTTCTTTTTTATTGAAGTTTTATACAATATGATTTGAGGATATTTAGCTCCTCTCCCTTATCCTCACCTCCACTTACTGCCCACCAACATAATGTACTCTATTATAATGTGCTTACCTACTTCCCCACCTCCATGCTGGGAGTTGTGTCTCCTTTGAACTTGCACGGGATTTATGTATGCTCTCACCATTGTGAGTTCATATGAGTAAATGACCAGCTGTCTGGAAAACTTGGTTTCCTTGTGGTCATCCACCACTCTTAAATTTTTCTGCCCCTTTTCCAAAACGATCTCTGTTACTCACATAATATTCATACCACTATTGTGCTGGTGGACATATATTGCCAAGCCAGTTAAGACTGATGATTATTTTTTCCTCTGGTAGCATGCATAGCACCTTCCAGCAGGATGGATGCTAGCCAGCAGAGATGAGGCTCTGAAGTCAGCACCAGCTTGATTTCTCCTTATTTGTTCTATAGTTCATGTATGTAATGCCTTCAGCAATAAGGTCTTGTTTTGGTTTTGGTTTTTGGCTTTTTGAGACAGGATCTCTCTGTTGCCCTCCAAGTGGCCTGGAACTCATTATGTAGACCAGGCTGGCCTTGATCTCAGAGATCCTCCTGCCTCTGCCTCCCAAGACCTGGGACTAAAGAAAAACGTACCACCATACCTGGCTAACAATAAAGTCTTTCTTTTGTTTGGTTGGTTTTTTTTTTTTTTTTTTTTTTTCTTTTTTGGATAGAGTC